CTAGCTAGTCTTAACTAATAATTTGGTGACAGTGTAACATGAGCTAAAACTTTCAAAAGCTCACTAAGGATTGCATTTCCTCTACAGGTTCCGATAGAGTTTTGCTAGATGAGAAAAATAAAATAGCTACTTACTAGTGTCCCTACTATGTGCCAAGCTCTCATCAAATGCAACAGGCTGTATAAGCCAAGAAAGAAGGTAACACAAGGGACTGAATGGTGAGGATACATTAAAGGAGAGCTAGAGTTTGAAGATGACAGAGCTGTAAGGGAGCCAGAAACCAACCATGATGAGGTGAACAGCAGCCAGATTGCTACAGGAAGACCGACCTCAGGGGATCTGTTGAGCTTCTGCAAAGTCAATTCTAGCAGGAATCAACTCATTGGTTTGTCACATTGCATGCTGAGAGCTGCCCATCAATGTTTGCTACAGGAGGCAGACACGTGATGGACAAGTATGTAACAAACCTGAGTACATTTTTATAGGAGAAAGAGGGAGAAGAATTGAATTTTACATCTGCTTATGCAAGTTGTGTGTGATACCCTCCTCTGGAGAGTAGAACATAGGCAGAGAGAAGGTTTTGCATAGATAGTTACCAAACAGGACAGTGAAGGATTATTACACTTTGAGTAAGGCAAATCTTCTGGGTAATTAAAAAAATTAGTACATAAAAACATTGAGGCTTAATTTAAAGCTTAAGAGTACAACATATTTCCTGTTTCAACGTGAGAAGGGACTCGGAAATGATCTTTGAAAGAGCAGTGCAGCTAGACTTTAAAATGCAACCATTGGGGAAGCTCATGATTTCTGCAGGGACACTCATAATTTTATTTAACAAGTGACACATAATTAGTCACTTTAGAGACTTTTCAAGATTCACTGGTATAATATTTGAACAGTAGAATGATGAAATAGTAAAATAGTGGCTGGTTTGATATTGTCACTAGGAATTACTATGTTTGATGTATTTAAAAACGTGTGTGAGGTTTAATATATAATATATTATTATAATGAATATAATATATAATGCAATATATGTACTAGAGGTCTGGAAAACCTATGGCTTAAATAAAAGAATACTTAATTGTTTAATGTTCTTTTCAACCTGGGATAAGGAAGGATTAGTAGAAGTAAGTATGGGAATACATATGTTTTGTGAAAACCAAGGAACTATTATCTAACATATGTACTCAGGCTCTTCCTTAGTACAAATATCTCAAGCAAGAGTCTAAGTATAAGCCTATTATTAGATAGATGTCAAGTATATAAATAAAGCTACAAGGTAATTCAGTAAGTTCATATTTTCCCCTTTGAAAATCATTTTAACACCCTATTTAGAATTCTTAGAAAACTAAATGCCCTCCCCTGATAATGAGATTGATAACTAACTTATATGCCATCCTAGAGCCTTCATCCAGCAGCTGATGGAAGTAAAAGCAGATATCCACTGCTAAACACTGAACTGAACTGGAATCTAGTTGCAGAGAAGGAGGAGTGATGAGCAAAGGGGTCCAGATCAGGCTGGTGAAACCCACAGAAACAGCTGACCTGAACAAGGGGGAGCTCATGGTCCCCAGACTGATCACTGGGAAACCATCATGGAACTGATCCAGACCCCATGAATGTGGGTGTCAGTGAGGAGGTCTTGGAAATCTATGGGGCTTTTTGTACTAAATCAGTACTTATCCCTAGCATAGGAATGGACTTTGGGAGCCCATTCCATATAGAGGGATACTCCCTCAGCCTAGACACACAGGGGAGGGCCTAGGCCCTATCCCCAAGGATAGGACAGACTCTGAAGACCCACCCATGGAAGACCTCACTCTCCCTGGGGAGCAGAAATGGTATGGGATAGGTAGTGTGTTAGTGGGGGGCAGGGTAGGAAGGGGGGAGAGGGAACTGGGATTGACATGTAAAACAATCTTGTTTCTAATTTAAATAAAAAAAATGGAGAAATTAAAAGAATTCTTAGAAAGCTCAAAATCCTTGGAGACTCGTATATAAATATGCTAGTTTGGGAATAAGCTGCCCTCTAGCCTTTGGAAAGGCCCTTTGTTCATTCTCAGGTCATTCTTGAAAACTAAGAGGAGTCATAAAAGATGTACAACATATCACCAGAAAGGAAAATTCAGCTTAAACTTCACATCATACCTCTATGAGCAAAGGCCACTGGGTTGGAACATTTGGAGTCTGGTGGTCTAGGATATGCTAACAAGTTCAGATTTAAGCTCTAGGGAGACCTGTTTCCTTGATTCTGATCACTTCTCATCACAGGAAAAAATACCAAGCCAAAGCAAACCCAAAGTTGAGAGAAGTAAGTGCAGAAACAAAAGCCAAGGCCTCTCTCCATTTTTCTTCCCATGGATCATAATGGTAGAACTACAAATGCTGAACCAGGATTGATGCCAGGGCTGAAAGAAAACACATCTAAATTCTTAAACTAGAATATATGGTTAGCCTGAATTTAGGGAGCATGTGTTAATCAAAGAACACAAACAATTGCAGACCTGGACATACAGACTTAGATCATCAGGAATTGTATTTTGTAACAAAAATATAATAATAATAATAATAATAATAATAATAATAATAATAATTCACATAAAGAAAAACATAAAGTAAAACAAAGAAAAGGACGGGGATCCCTGGGTTGTTCCTGGGATGCAATGAATCCTTTGTTCATTGCGCATATATTTGTTTTGTAGCCTGGATATACAGCCAGAGACATGCAACTTATGATGCTCTTGGCACTCAGCAGATGGAGGCTCGGGACCACACATGTACAAGTTGTGCACATGCCCCCCCCCATGGGACAACACGAAACACAAGTGACTATGTCTTTGCTCTTGGTTCTGTTTTCATCCTTTGCTCCTGTGTGCTGTGAGCTGAGGTAACTGTTTACAAAACTTTTGGAAACTAGTGTGTTAATTTTGATCCAAGGGATGGGTTGTTTCTGGGTCAACTGAGGGATTTTGAAATGGTCTCCAGTTGGAACATAAACAATTTCATTTTGCAATTATAAGAGAGATGGAACCGTATTTAATTCAACAACTTTTTTAAATTGCTGCATCTGCTGTAAAGTATGTTGTAAATTTATTCATGTAGTTTGAACTGTAGTTTTCATAGGTTCAGAACAAAGCAGCATTGTGCAAAGATTTTCATGCTTACAAAGAACTCTTACTTGCTGTCATGGCAGTGCACTGTCACAGTAGCATTGTGAAAATCAATATGGAGTATTCCCAAAACATTAAATACAGGATGTCCATGTGCACCAGCTGTACCACTCCTGATGCATAGCCAAAGGGCTCTACATCTTATCACAGAGGTACTCGTGTGCCCACTTTTCTTTCTTTTTTCTTTCTTTTTTTTTTTTTTGATGCAAACAGCACGAGGCTAAATTACAGTTGTTTAATGAGCTAACCCCATGTTAGCTGGGGCCTTTTATCCACCCGCCATGGTGGATGGCTGGGGAAAGACTCTGAGAAGCCACTGGACCAAGATCTTATAGGGCAGCATAAGGGAAGTGTCTAGGGGTACGCACAGGCTCAGGATTGGTGTGCCTCCAAGCTTGGAGGACTTGCCCTGTGTTGATTGGCCAACTGGTTGTTATGGCCCATAGGCCCTCCCAGGGCGGTTGCTAGGCTCTGCATGTCATTGCTGTGCACTTGTCCATAAAGCTCACCCAGAGCCATAAAGCATAGCACTACCAACTAACTTCTGATTGGTTTTTGCCATGAGGCAGGCATCTGACCTCCTAATGACCAAGGCAAGGTCAGACAAGCACGTGTTAGGCTGTTATGGCTGCCGAAATGGTGCCCACGTTTCTTAAGACATTATTTGTAACCGCCAGGAAATAGAACCAACCTAGATGTTCGCTGATACATAAATGAATAAAGAAAATATAGTATATACAGGCAACCGAATTTTATTCTACTATAAGGAAAAGCAAAATAATGAAAGGAGATTGATGAACCTGGAAATAATTGAAGGGAGACTGATGGGCCTAGAAAGTATTACACTGGAAGGGTAACCAAAATTCGTAGACAAAACCACATAATCTGTTTTATGCACAAATATTAGCTTTTAATGACTACATATGTGTGCATAAAAAGGGGTGAGTGTGGGAATAACTAAGAAACTAACTGAGAGGTTGGAAGAGGAAAAATGAAGTGTCCACAAAGGGGGACAGTAGCACATTTGTGACATGAAAGCAGATAAAAGGATAGAAGACACAAGGGGTAGGGTGGTCAGGGATGTAGATAAGAATATGGGGGAGGATAACTAAAATTTTATTTTAAAATTAAGCCTACCACTGTGCATAATTAAAAAGTAAGCTGAAACGTATTAGATTGTCAGATGCTATATAAATGGTAAAATCTATCTGGAGGAATTCCATTTCATACTCTAATATGCTCAGTGCGCTTCCGGAATAACATATGCTTGGAACAGTTGGTAGACTTAAATTTGTTTTGTAACATAATAATGTAATCTCAGCTGTAACAATGTTAACTTCACTTTGTGTATGAATTAGCATTTGTTATTTGGCATCACACTCAGAGATTTATGTTTTACAAATGGTTAACTTCAGAGGTAATAGTTTCAAAATGGGTTGAGCAGTATGTGATCTGCCTAGTTGGCTCCATATTGTAACCTTTTGCCACTGAATAGTTCAAAAATACTATAAGGAGTATTTTTGCTAAATGTAAGCATTTCTCCTTTATGTAAGCATTATATTATTTTTAACTCTATATCAATATTAGTATATTTTTCTAATGCCTATCTCTTCTGGATATGAAGTCTAATTGTATTTACTGCTTTGCTTACTTTTATCAATAAGTACATTTTAATTAGCATTCTTAAACACAATATTTTGTATATTCACTTGTATTTTTATATTCTCAAGCATATATCATATTTTAAATTCTCCTTCATATAATTATGACATTTTACTGGTTCCATCATTAGAAATTGAAGTAAACAAAATCTTTGACCATTTAAGTTTTTATTTATATGAGGTTATGACTATGTTTTCTTTTTTTAAAATACTTTTATTCTTATTATTTCTAGCATTTAACACAAACACATACACTGAAAGGGGTGCAGAAGGAGGAAAATTTCTATATGAGAAGAACTTTCCTTTTCTTACAGTGGAAGAATGTGTGCATGTTATAATTTTATCATGGAAAACAAATTCTTATATTTGTTGATTAACTTATTAAATTCACTTACTAGTTGATTGAAGTCTTTAGAGAGAGGACTAAAGACATCATCATTTATTTTGCAAAGTATTTCATTAATTGTTACAAGAATTTTGTGAGAAATTCAATTACTCTGTACTCCAGTGAAGATGAGCGAAAATCAATGTTAATTTGCAACTTTAATATTTTCATAAAATCCAAACAGAGATTTTTAAGTAGGTATAACATAAGTTCTTTTAAGTGAATGGAACATCTTGAGTATGTTTTACAGATAATGTTTCTGTGAGCAAATTAAAACACAAAGGAAGTTAAAATAGATTCACATTAAAATATCTAAACAGTGGGAGCAACACTGCAAGGACTACTAAACTCTACACAGTTTGTTATATTTGAACAAAACCTAAGCTCCAGAATGGATGATTTATCAATTAAAAAAATACAAAGTCACTTCTAAAAATGTCCACCATAACTTAGCAAGCAATTGTAGAAAAAATGATAGATCTAACTTTAAAAATACTAGAAAGTCTCCAAATCGGTTTTTAGGCACCAGAGTTTTCTTTCAAAACTGTCAGATTTTTTTCTACAAGCAATACAGAATGTTTTAATTGGCACTTCAGCCTTAAAGAAGTCTAGTTTCAAAAATATCATTACAAAACTAATACTGACGAATCTCAGACTGGTGTGGATGAGGATTACACCGCAGTGATGTTAGCAGTAAAGAAATCTCAACTACACTCAGTATGATAAAAGAATAATAAAGCTGAAAATGATAATACCTTTTAAAACATGTTCTCTGGTAACAGCATTCTGTGCTATCATTTATGGTTAATACTCAACAGTTCAGAAGAATGCAGAGCTACATGAACACTGTCAGTAAAGATATGAGTCTAACAGCTAAATTTTGAGTGTTGTAAAAGGATGTCTTGTACAGTTTTGGCAATTGAAAGTTCAGAACAATCTGCATTCCTTTTTTAATGATGACTTGCTATGAAATCCACAAAATTGGAACTACCTTGGTAACACCTTTGCCCATATAGATAAATTACAAGTATATCTATCAGATCATCTAATATGCTAGTTCTTGTTCATTTGAGTTATTTTCCTTGACAGTTTAAACAACTATTGCAGCATAAAACACAATTAGTGATGATTAAATCATTACTTTCACCCATTGTGACCTGACTGACATATTTCAAAAAAACACATACATGACTTTCCCCAAACTGACTTTTACCAACTGAAGCCAATCTTGTTCTGCAGAAAGTCCAGAACAAAGCAATATTAGAAAAACTGAATCCATTTAGATGTCACTTTACTCATGAACAAGACTTTCTTCTGTCCTAATTTAATTATTACCTGAATGACTGACAGTTCCTTCTCAATGATAAGTTCAAGGCTTTCCCTGGCTTGTATTATCATCTGTAGTAGTCTACTGAAATACTGAAACTGTGCATATTATATTGATAAAATTCCTCTATGGTTCATTTAAAAAATAACCTGGTTCTTTTTCAAAACCATTTATCTTCATCTAGTAAAAGTCACTAAAGTTGTATTTTAGTAAATTAAAGTCCACATGTGTAGCAGGCTAGTTTTCCTTGCTGTAGTTGTTAAAAACTTCCTGATTTCAGTGAGTCGTCATCAAAATCAAAGAAGAAATGTCAGCACACCAAAGATACTGTGTTTGTAAAATTATGGCTTTGCATTTTAAAATAAATATTTCATATCTTATCACTGAAGTTTCTGGGATTGTTCTTAGTTCTCAAACATCTGATGCCGGTATCTGGTTGTCCTTAAAATATTTACCAAATATAGAATTCAAGATTCTACTTTACCATAAAATCAGCCCAGATACAGTATTAGATACCAAGTGGCATATGATTCTGCATTATCTATTTGCTTTAAAAGTTACCTAGGTCGTGTTTTTAATTGAAGCAATAAAATGACAGATTATTTACAGGTTCTTTTGCGGTCTTTTGCACGGCAATCTCTCTCTCTCTCTCTCTCTCTCTCTCTCTCTCTCTCTCTCTCTCTCTCTTTTTTAAAATATAAAAAGAAATCCTTCATTGATTCCCTTCATGTAAAATGATTGATTACTTGTCTACACAGTAGATATGGAAAGGCCAAAGTTTCTATTTACAGATTCAGGAAAACTGATTTCCTCCTATGCCTGCAGTTTTTTGTTTGTTTGTTTGATTAGTTTGTTTTGTTTTTTCAGTAGCTGGCAAAGTGTTTGCAGCTTCCACCAACATGTCTCCCTAGTGACTCAGAAAAGGATTGCAAATTGTAGGTTTTGCTCACCAAGTGTCAAAATGGATATGCCACAGGATACAACCGTATGTAGCAGCAACTGAGAAACCCATAGAAATTCTACTCAGTTGCTTTTCTTAAAGAAAAGAACAGGAAATAACAGAGATAATGAACTCCATCACATCCATTAGAGAAGTTATAAAGTGGGTTGGAGTCTTTTCTGGGCAAACCATTCACTGCCACCAAATGACAATAGGACAGAGAGTTTTATAACAAACAAAAGCCATATTTCTTTACATGTCTGTAAGACTGAGAGAGGTCTCCTCTGGCGAGAATAGCAGAGTTCTGGTCTGTACAGGTGTGAATGAGCACAGTCATCATCCATTTGTGAGAGCATGCAGGGTTGTGCGGGTTCCAGCATGTCAGCTCCCAAGAGTTGATTGTGCTTGTTTTCTTTCCAGTTCCACATTCAGTGATATCAGGTTGGCAACTTGAAATCAGCCACAGTGGGAGTGTTTACTGGCTAACATTATTAGTTAAGGCTTTTCCCTCCATATAGAGAGGGTTGCTAAACATTGATCAACACAAGTCTCATTTCATTTGAGGGCTTTCTTCGTGGCATTCAAGAAATCCGTTTGCTATTAAATCTTCTGGTTATAACATCATAGGTTCAAGTGGCACAAAACAGGTGAGCTCTCTCTGTTTTCACATGACTATATCATACATTTTTTCTGGCTTTAAGGTGACATTTTCAATATCCTGGATGCTTTTTCCATTTAAGTGTTCAGTGGGACAGTCGTGGCTGTATCCTGGGATGTCACTGATTGTTGACACTGTGTAGGATGCACTGCGGAGGGCGTCAGAGTGGGAAAAGCCATTTCCAAACTGGATTTTATATTGGTTCCAATTTCTTCTCAGAATTGCTTGAACCTATCAATCAACAAGAAATAGAAACAGATGAGATAAAAATGTTCTATTTGAAGCACAGCCAAAAAATGTTTTGCAGAAAGCGTTTGTTTTACCAACAGTCCTGGTCTGTACTTTTAGCTACTCATGAAACTGAGGCAGGAAGATTGCAAAGTCAAAGACTGCATTCATGCTAGTTCTGTATAAGCTCAGGCCAGCCTGAATATCTTACTGATACCTTGAGTCAAAGTAAAAAGTAAAGGAACACGAGAGAGATTTAGCTCCTTGATAAGTTGTTTGCTTAGCATGTGTAATGCCCTAAATTTGGTCCCAGGTACCACACATACAACACACAAATCTTAAGTAAAACACTTTCATATTAGGGAACACATTGCGATTCATCTGTACTTTTTATTTAATTAAAATTTTAACATTTTTATTCTGTGTCTTGTCTTTAAAGCTATAATAATCCAAATACAGTGTATGTATTCTTGTCAAACACAATTCATCTATACCTTTCATATCCAGCATAACATGTATATATGATTTTATATCGATACCTAAATAAAATGAGAGTATAAGTGTTGAGAGTATATAGGAATTTGGGGAAGATGCAAACAACACAATATAGGGACAAGAGAAATTGTGCCTATCATCATTACTAATGGTAGCTTTTATTGAATGATTATTGCATCCTAAAATTGTGCTACTTTCTGAAAATAACAGGTCACAGACCTTACTTCCTAATATAATGCATTAGATTGGACAAAAGTTATTGCAAAAAAAAGTTTAGGAATGTTACTATTCCACTTAAGCATATTTTATCTCTTTCCTTTTTTAATATTTTCAAGAATTTACTGTTTTTATTTTATGTGTATGATTATTTTGTCTGAATGTTTGTAAGTGTCTCAAATGTGTGCATGCCTGGTATCCAACGAGGCCAGAAGGGTGTATTAGGTGCCCAGAATTGTAGTTACAGATGTTTTCTTAGCCATCATGTGGATACTGGGACATGAACCTGGTCCTCTGCATGAGCAGCACATGCTCTTAACTCCTGGTCCATCTCCATCCCCTGTATCTTTCTTTCTTAAAACAAATGTGAAGTTTAATGACTTTCTTTCCTGACTGAAATTAGAGATTATGATTAGTTAAGTCAGAAACAAGGACACTGTTTCTGATTGTATTTAAGCCATGAGAAAGACATTTTTACATCGAGTCAATAAACACAAATAAGAATATTCAGTTCCATCTCAGACACATCACCTTTATATTATCAGGTCTGAAAAGTGTGTGTGGCATAGAGGCTGGCCATTTTTAGGTCATGAAATATTTGCTCTATCCATGTAGCATGATATATGTTTGCCTAAGTGTTCATTGTATGAATAGTTTTTCCCAAGATGTCATCTGATTTTTGGCCAGTTTTTATGCCCCTCCTTAAGGATCTAAAAAAAAAAAAATTCCCAGCAATTCATGTACTCTTAATACCCTTGGATGTTAAGGATACATAATTAACTTTCTGCTCAGTATATTCATGTAAAATCTATGTTAAAGTCTGTCTTGTTTCTTTTTTTGTTCCCTCTCCAAACTGCAAACATTCCACAACCAGTATGGATTTATAGGAAGCTACAGCTTTGGGGGTACAGCTTTGGGGATGCAACTTCCAGGATGTTTTCAAGTGTCTTATGTGCTATCACTTAAGATAAAAACAAAGTTTTCCTGTCTTGTTTCATGTTTTATTATTAAAGGAAAAGGAATGGTCAGATATGTAGCCATCCACTTCTTAAATATAATTCAAAATTAATTGTTGACATGTCCATTTAACTTTTCTCTAATTCAACCACTATGCAAGTAAAATTATACATTTCAGTTATATGATATATTATTAAGAAGTTCAGCAACTTATGGGCTTTCAGGACCATTCTTTTGTATTTGGTAACAAAAGCTAATGTATATTCCTGTATGTACTTTGAAAACAAAAGAATTTTAAGATAATGCATAAATCTGTCTTGAACAAAATTGCATTTGTTTCTCTTGTGGTTTAGTAATTCTAAATCAACAAATAAGATATTAAAGTAACAGTAATATTTATGTATGCCATATCTTCAAAATGTAATCAAATGATAACTGCAATGACTTTAAATGGTATGTGCTAAGTAAATATTCAGAGATATGAACAAAAATACTTTTGAACAATTATGTAACTATTTTGAGTGGGAGTTATTTCATTCTCATGTTTATACATATTTTTCTCATTTGTTACGAATGCTAGACTACTTAGGTGCTGGAACCACATAGCTTCAAGTTGAATGGGAGTGGGATGTAGTGTCCCATAAAATATCCCACACTAACCTTAAAAAGACCTCGACAAGAAGACACCTGTCTTGAAGTCCTAGGATTGATAGTTCTAAAAGAAAAGCTAACCAAATCCCAGAAGTCAAAATGTGCTTGATCTATTAGATGTTTGTCCTTGAAGAATCTATGAGAATGATAATCAACTTATTTCTTCTCAGTGGCTAAACCATCAGGAAAAAAAATCATGAAAAGACAATATCCTGAAGTGTGGATTATGATTTACCAAATTTTTAAAAAAATGAATTTAATAAAGAACCAAGGTCTTTGCAAAGTTGTAAGAGTATTACATTTTGGAGATAGAGGAGTGGATGGAGGGGTAGATGGGAGTGGGGGGAGGGAATGGTAGGAGAGGAGGGAAGGGAAACTATGGTCAGTATATACAATAAATTTTTTAAATGTTAATTAAATAAAATAAAAATTTTAAGAAGCATGTTACATTTTTAACTTCTTTCTCTAATACATGATCGTGCTTACTTAACAGATGTTAAATTAGATATTCAGTACATTTAAATGGGAAAAGTGAAAAATATGCAGCTGGGTGCTATTTAAGATATGAATATGGTTTCAGTGGTTTGTGTATGAGCTTTATGCAGGCAGTTAAGTGAAACCATTAGCATAGTATATGCTCATTAGCAATGAGAAGGATCAATAATAATACTCCTTAATCTAAATCAATTTTTAAGAATATGATAAAGGTTATAAAGAAAAATATCCAGTTTTCTTTACAGAATGTTAAGGCGCCCCAACAATTTTTGTTGTTGTTGTTGTTGTTTAGTTGATAAAAAACACATATAAAGCATTGTTCTTTCATATGCCCTTCTGATGACCAGAGTCCCTTGTTTTTGTTACCAGGACATATTTTTATTTGAGTGGAATGGTGCTGAAAGTAGCCCGGCCACTTATCAAACTACAGTTAACTAGCAAGAAATGCTGAGAGGAAGATAGATGTTTGCTAAAACTCAGCAGTGAGAGTCAAGTGCAAGTGCAGATACCAGTCGAAAGTGAGCCACTTGACCTAACATGAGGGCAAAAAGGAAACTCAAACCAAGCAACTGACTTTAACAAAAACATGACATACTTGGAACCACACAAACTGAATCTGGCAGCTAACTCTTCATGTTACAAGAGTGAGAAAAAACTAAGAGGCAAAGAGACAAAAAGGGAGGGATTAAGGCATTTCTTAAAATGAGGGATGAATCACAATCCAAAAGGGATTGTGTCTCCCAAGCAGAGGGAAAGAGGACAGATACTACAGATGTTGTGATGAACTCAGGGATCTGGCAACAACCTAGTTCAAAGATTTTCTTATTATTAAAGTTTTCCAATGCCAAAATTTTCTCAATTTAAGGCATGGCAGAAGAACAAGGTACTGTGTCTCTTTTGTTTATACAGATAAAGGACAACAGGAGTACAAGTCATTAACTTCAATATTCCCTGGACACTGTTTCAGAAGGAAAGCGCCAATTTGAAATTTAGACTGCAGCATGACCAATGTTCCCATTTCTACATGGTTTTTCATTGAAGCAATGAGTTATTTGACCAACGTAGCAATGAAGCTATAATATTCTAAGGATGTGGTGAGGTTGGGGCATTGCATGAAAACTTTACATTCCTCAGTTTACATTCACCCCTTCAACATTAGCATAAATAACTTGCTTTTATTTCTGTTTTATAAGGAGAAATATATGTTCCTTGGTTCCAAATCTTTCCTAAAATATAACTGCTAGGAAGAAAGAAGTGTCGGAGTTTAAAGGTACTACCTACCACATACATTGCCCACTGCCTCCTACCCTATTCTACAACTGCATCACCTACTTTACAAGAGACGATGATTTAAATACTTAGAACCACATGATTCTGTGTCTAGATAAAAAGTACATCTTCCAAATCTTATACATGCTCTTGGGCATGTGTTCATACAGTGATCATGAATATTTAATTGTTATAGCCAACATCAGCAACACACAGGATTGCCTAAGTCAGTGCATCTGCATATATACATACGTAATAAAGGCTGTATGAGTTTCCCTGTCAAAACAAAAGATTTGTTGGTCCTTTTCCATTGCATTCTCTGTCTTCAAGTGTCATTGACTAGAGAAAAAAGTCAGTTTAATGTATAACATAGAAGAGTCACAGAACTAATTACAACTCAATAGCCACATTTGACAGTGCACTGTTCTATCCCTCTGTTATACACAGTGTTATAAATATAATGGCCAGGCAGTGGTGGCACACACCTTTAATCTCAGAACTTGGGAGGCAAAGGCAGGCAGATCTCTGTGAGTTTGAGGCCAGCCTGTTCTACAGAGCTAGTTCCAGGACAGCCAAGGCTACACAGAGTAACCCTGTCTCAAAATTAATTAATTAATTAATTAAATAATTAAAATTTAATGGCTCTAGTTTCAATTGCATATATGTTAATTAAACAATTTGTTTGATTACATCCAAGGAGAAAAAAGTAAAAGTTTGCTAAGACTAGGAAAAAGTACTTGATAGTTTCTCGTGAGAGGTATGTAATTTCCAATGATTTATTTTATAGGAAATATCTTCATAAATTATGCCAATTGGTCCATGTGTTCCCCATCTGAGTTTTCCTGATGAGTTTCTCAGTTATCCAGCGCCCATTTCTCACAGAGTTGCTGTCTGGATTTCTGTGCTGTGCTCAATTTTGCTAGCATGCTCCAGATGAAAACTGGCCAAGCAGACCAGAAACAAAATGCAAAGTCAATAGTGCTCCAACAACTGAGCAGTAACAATATCCATATGTATAGAAATATGCACCCAGTTAGGTTACTGAAGTCTCTCAAGTAGGAAGTCCTCAGGTAAAAACCCATATATCTCCAACGTTAATTTGCTTTAATCTTTTTGTATCTATGGTAAAACCTTTCAAAAAATAAGAATTGAGCCTACTGAAAAAGAGGAAAGGGGAAATGAGTAGATTCTGTTTCTTGTGACAATGTCTGTTCCGTGAAGTTAAAAATTTTCCAGCACTGTCCCCAGGGCAACATCCAGACTTAGTACTTTTAACAGTAGGTCAATGGGCTATCGAGGCATTGGAATATTTTGAAGTAAACTTTACCCTACCTTTCAACTCTAATATTACCTGTGTTTTGAGATGAGAGTTCGTGAGTACAAAAAGTAATTTTATGTTATTTTTTTCTGTGATAAAATTGGTATTTGAAATAGTGATTTTGTACTTGGGCGGTAGTGGCACATGCCTTTAATCCCAGCGCCCAGGAGGCAGAGACAGATGTATCTCTGAGTTTGAGGCAAGACTGGCCTACAGAGCAAAGTTCAAGGATAGCCACAGCTGCACTGAGAAACCCTGTCTTGAAGGAAAAATAAATAGTTGTTATGGGAGGAGTAGATAATCCCATCTTGTTTTTTAAAAAACTGTATAAATTATAAAAGTAGTAAAATCAATAAACTTACTTCTCCATTAAAAAAGCAGAAAATTGTAGACACCAAAAGGCCCTGTTTAAAAAAAAAAAAAGACAGAGTCATCAGAATCTATTTTTATTATATTCTGTATTTTTAAAACAACTTTTATATTTAAAATATTTTAATCATATTCTTCCCTTCCCCCAAGTCCTTCCAGATCCTCTCCCCCTCCCTACCCACCCAACTTTAAGTTCTTTCTCAAAAAACAAGTACCCCAATAGAACAACAAAACCAGAAAAACAAAATAAAACCACACCCAAAAAGGAAAAACAAACAAAAAACAACCTCCAAACTGTAACCAAATCAAAGCGCATGTGCAAGCGTGCATGCGCACTAGAGTGCACACACAAACACACCACTGGTCACCTGGTCCTGAACATGAAGCCTGTCCTGGAGTGGTTGATGTGCCCAGTGTCACTCCATAAAAGAAAACTGGGTTTTCACACTCCCAGCAGGTAGGTATGAGTGACAGTTCAGTTGTGACCCTTTATCCTCATGGCTAGGTTTGCACTCATTCATTTATTTGTTAAACTTATAACAAAATGAAATATAATAAAACAAACACTATCACACCCGAGTTGGACAAGACAAACCAACAGAAGGAAAAGAGCTGAAAAGGAGGCAAACAAATGAAAAAGGATCATGTATTTATAATCAGCTTGGTACATAAGCCACCAAGAGTAAAACCAACCCTACATGCAAAGTCAGTACAAAACTTGCCAAGTGCCCTCTTGATTGACAGGAGTGCCTTACCTGATAGTGCATCAGGATGTGCATGACATAGTCATACACCTCCTCGGCAACCCTTCCTTCAGGCCGCCATGGGAAAAGCACAAACTCAATGCCAAGGAGTGGTACCAAGATGAGGGTAGCTCTCACAGCTTTCATGTAAAGATTGGACTCTGCTTGGTGAGTAACTTTCAACTTGGTGATGAGAACGCGTACAATATTTAATAGGAAAAAGAGATTTACCTAAAAGGAAAATAAAAGGCAGTTCATGTTGTTACTAAAAAGTCTTACACAAACTCCAGTTTTATAAAACTTGGACTATTTCATGTACAAGGACTGAAGGCACATTTTGTATAATAATCCACATATGAATTAGTATGTATTTCTAGAGTGATGCTATTTGGTTTACAGGTATTTGAATTTTGGTGAAATTTCCTTTTAGAAAAGTAAAACTGTGGTAAGATTGTAGAATTATTATGGAGCACATTTATTTGGGAAATATTTGAGTCATTTTCTTAGTTCATTTTCTATATAATGTTTAAGGGTTTTCTGTGAGTCCACATCAAGGTTATAAACACTTTTAGCAAAAGGAATTATTCTTAAGAAACGTTAAATTTTAAGGATTTGTGAGAGAGACAGAGACAGAGAGAGAGAGAGAGAGAAAGAGAGAGAGAGAGAGAGAGAGAGAGAGAGAGAGAGAGAGAGAGAGGACCCATGGAGGCCAGAGGAAGATGTCAGATCCCTGGAGCTGGAAATATAGGCAGTTGGGAGCTGCCCAACATGCAGCTGAGAAGTGAACACAGGTCCTCTGGAAGAGCAGCAAGTGTTCTTCACTGCTAAACCAATTCTCCAGTCTCAACAAATGATAATTTTTAAAGAATTATCTTTTTCTCAGTGCCCAAACTGTAGACTTTCCAAGCACATATTGTGCCATAAATTCTGTTTTTATATATTTGGTTTCTCTTTCTTTTTTGTAATAATCTTCACAACATCTTTTTATATAAACATTTCCTATAACAAGTGCCTGAAATAGGACTGTAATTTTCTTTATGCTTATGAATAGATGGTCATACAACTAAACCAGCTGATATTCAACTAGATGATGCTAGAGAAAGAATCCTTGGCTTCCCACAACTTCTCTAAATAACTTTCTGTAACTACAATTTTGTACTTATTGTGCTGTAGCGACTTTCCCCAAGAGATTACATTGTCTTTGAAGAGATTCACAGAACTCTGAAAATAGAATTTGACTCAGTAATTAAGAATCTGTCTTATGATAACATTAATTTCAACTCATCTATAGCCTCCCATCCCTTTCATCCACTTTCTCCTTCTCAAAATCCTACTTTCTCTCCTTTTATATTGACTGTTTTACTTCCTTTCCTGTTCCTGTGATAAAATACTCTGACAAAGAAGTATAAGAATTTATTTTAGCACATAGTTCAAGGGATAGTCTGTTATAAAGGGAAGTCAAGGTAGCAGGACTCTGAAGCAGTTAGTCACATTCTCTATTCAGTCAAGAATCAGGAGCGAGGAATGCATACCTGCACTCATCTCACTTGCTCCATTTTATAACATCCAGGATGACCTGGCTATGAAATGGTCCTGCCCTTGATTAAAATACATCTTCCCGCATCTTCCCACATCAACTAAAGTAATTAAGAAAATCACCTACAAGCATGCCCAGAGGCCTGTAGGTGATTCAGCTAAGACTGACCACTATATTGACCAAAATACAAACTAAATTTTGTCCGTTTCCCATTGGCAATCCCTCATGCTTTTAAGGAAATTATGTAGAAAATGTCATATTGGGCAAATTTGTTGATATCTTTCTTTTTTCTCCCACCTTGACTTCATTAGCATCTGTCCTTGTTTAGTAACCTAATCATAAGATTTTAAACAAACAAATATGTAGTTTACATCTATACACCTTAATAAACTCAAAGCCAGGCAGTGATGGCACAAGCCTTTAATCCCAGCATTCAGGAAGCAGAGACAAGGATCACTGTGAACTTAAGGACGCCCTGGTCTACAAAGCGAGTTTCAGGACAGCTAGAGCTGTTACATAGGGAATCCCTGTCTCACAGAAATAGTAAATAAATAAATAAATAAATAAATAAATAAATAACTAGAAATTCAAGCAATGGTAGCCCATCTCTTGAGGCAAAAAGAATGAGTAATTTATTAGTTTTTAACATGTGTAATGAAAATGATTAAGCATAAAATTACTTCGCTGTTAAGAGAATTCGATGTAACATAGACTTTAAAAATATGCAGCTGAGGGCCTAGGCCTGACCCAGGATGATGATGTGGAATTTGGGGAGCCCCGGTGGAGGGCCCTATCCTCCATGGGGAGCGGAGAGGGTGGGGAGGGGACTGGTGGAGATTGGGGAGGAGGGGGAGAGGGAGAAGGGATTGACATGTGAAATTATAATTTTGTAAAAATTAAATAAATAAAAATATGCAGCTAACCAGACTCCTAATGAGAACACATCTGTGAAAAGAACATGTTTATAGACACTGGAATGCAATGAAGACAAACTTGCTACTTCACAGGTGGGGTATGAAAGACGACGAGTCAGCACACCAGCTGTACTTCCGCCGTTCTAAGTAGAGTTCTCTCTTATATGGAGATTTTGAAAATAATTTAAAAATTAGTACCAATTCCTGGTAATGACTTCTTATCCACTCATAAATGAACTTTTATCCAATTACAAATTATAAGTTATAAAGTATTTAAAATCCTAATGTGCAAAAAAAAACCACTAATTAATAAATGGTTAGAAATGTGGCAGTTTAGATCTACCCTCCATGAAAGAACAGTTCAATACAAAGAGATTCTTTAAAGCCATCTTGCGTTTTTAAAACATGAAACTGGAACTGATGAGGAAGCTAATGTTTATATAAGCTTCTATCTATATATAGCTGGATGCCACGCTCTATGCAATTTCCCACATCAGTAAGTATTTTAAGCAAAAGTAGAAGAATTTCAAATTTTAGACAAACTATATTTGAATTTCATCTAACTCAGGACAGACCTGGTTTAAAGATTCCTGGTGTTTTCATTTATTTATGTTTTGAGACTTTTGTACATGAGTACTTCATTCTCGCCACCCCACCCCCCCACACACACACACACACACACTCTCCTCTTCCTTCCTGAAACCCTGCTCAGGAACACCCCCATCCCCACACTCTCTCAAATTCATGGCCTCTTTTCCTTTATTATTGGTGTGTGTGTGTGTGTGTGTGTGTGTGTGTGTGTGTGTGTGTGTTTAGGCACACATATAAATATGTAAGCATATCTGTGTTACTCGTGGGAGCACTCGGTTAGCCGATTATGATGCCCATCCCTGGAGAAGAGGAAGAGGTACGGGTATTATTAGTGCCTGCTGAGAAACCTGTTTTTACTAGGACATCGTAATGTTCAATAGTCTGTAGATGCCACAAGATATATTCGTAACACCATAGTGCCCGGGGTCACAGAAAGAAGCAGAGTGAGTCAGCACAGTGGCTGCGGGAATAGTGTTGGAAGACTTTCACACAAGGATGGCCACTAGTTCCTCATCTATGCCCTCAAGTGACCTAAAGGTCTCCAGGATCTCAAATCAAATGCATCGTCTCTCCGAAGTATATAAAGTGCTGCAGTTACACCCGTGCCTGCTCAGGGTGGGGAAGTGTGAAGCAGGAAGTCTGAATGGGAAAGACGGGTGGTGCTTTACATGACTTATTTATTTAAATTGTACAAAGACACGTGGATTAGAGCCCCACATAGGCTCCTGGAATTCAAAGGGCCCTGGAGTTAAAACAAGGACAGAACAACTTAAATTGGTTAAGAAATAGTCTCCTAGCTTTGTCTTAGGTCACTCAGTAAGAGTCAAATGTTTTATGAAGGTAAAGTACATATTTACTTTCTTTTACTGAGCAGTGTGATAAGCTATGTGTCATTTTTACTGAGGCTCTCTCTCTCTCTCTCTGGTCTTCTCTCTCAAAGCTGGTGTAGACAGGCTTTTCTGGAGATTGAGTTTGGTGGTTACATTTTCCATTTGGTAGGTGCTTTTGTTTCACCAGCATCTCTGGTTTTAAGAGTTTTAATCACAAATACCTCTGCGCACTCTGGTCATGTGCAATAAAATACTGACTTGGGTTTGTTCATGGGTGCCCCACACAACATTAATTTCTTTGTGCTCTGTTCCAAACTGAATCAGTGGTATTATGCATAAATTACAAGTAAAGAATTGTTTAAAGAATTCTGTTAATCACATACCAGGACATGTCATTTACTCCTGAAAAGCCTTTTTGAGGAATTCCTACTATTCCATTGTTACAGAAGAGAAAGCAAAATCATGAAGAGATTAAAAATAAAACAAACTGGAACTGGAGAGAAGACTGCAGTAAAGACCACAGTCTGCTCTTCCAGAAGATCTGGGTTCAATTCTCAGTATCCACACAGCAGCTCACAACTGTCTGTAATTCCAGCTCCAGGGGATCTGACACCCTCACACAGACTTTTGAGAATAGCTTGACAGTGATACTTGCAAACTATATCAACAGTGTTCTAAGGCAACCATATAAACTAAACTGAAGCAGGAAAGCAGTAGTAGAATAATAGAAGAATTCTTGTGTAAACAAAAAAGAATCTGAAAGCAAGAGTCAGAATCATTTAACTTGTTCTAAGAAATATACACCTTCTTCTTATATGAAACTATAAAGTACCACTCTTAGAAAATGCAATTTGCTCTGTGCTAGTTTGTATTAATTTATTGCTCATTGAAGCAACATAATGAAAGCACAAAATGTGACTTTTGCTGCCCTATAACTGAAAAGGACAGAAGACAAAATTGACCAGGTAGCTTAGGGGTAAAGACCCCCAAAATGCTCAATTCCATTCTCATCATTGGCCAGAATCAGGGTATGTTGGGTATGTTCTTAGATTTATGGTTAGGAATGCCAGAAAGGCACTCTGGGTTCTTTTTTAAATAAAGATTGTGTGTGTGTGTGTGTGTGTGTGTGTGTGTGTGTGTGT